ATTGTGCCACGACACCTTGAATATCTTCAAAGAGCTTAGCAGTCGAATGTATCGTCATGAATGGCGCATCCACTGCAACAGAAAAAAAATTTGCCCAACTTTTTTGCCAAACTTGGGCCAAGCTGCATTACAAAAGCCCACTGGCAGCTAACCTTTTAGGATGTTTTCATTGCTCACATAATGGTAGTCAGGGAAGGCAGGTGTACTCCTACACTGTGGTACTTAGTCTGTCGAAAATATTCTAGCCAAGGTTTACATTGCTTGAAAAGCTGGCTGATATTTTGAAGCAATATAAACTAATTTCATGCCATCGATGCGACGATATCAAAGTAGCTTAGCAGATGTGTAGAATTCGAAGCTGTGCAATGCCCATAGTTCTAAACACCACCAAGTAGACACGGGTGTGTATTCTTGTCTGTGCCTATTTCTCACTGTTTTTAACCATGAATACAGACCAACTGGCTCGCATTCTCTCTTTTTTCAAGCACACACTGACTGTACACTAGTGTGGCTCTCCCACTCTACTTCAGCTTTCAATCGCCCTGTTACATTCACACAATAATTTCCTGGACCTGTGAGACAACCCACCCATTTTCACAAGATGAGACAACACTCCAGAAAAGATGCTTGGATCTATGGCAACTTAATTCTGCTCCCGAGGTAACATTCACTTGACTGAGACTCGAATCACGTAAACACAAACAAGCACGACTGTAACAGCATGCATATTGATGGCATATGAATGTGCAAATGTTGTTTGCTTAAACAAACTGCTTCAAAGTGTCCCAATGTTTTATTGTAAGCATTGTTACCAAAGAACGTACCAAAGAATACTTAAAAACAAAAAGCTAATATGGGCACCAAACTTCGCACTTCTTCACACTTCAGCTTTACTACTAATAAAAAAGGTCTATTTCAGTTTCGTATTTAAAATTGGTCATTAAACAAATAAAGAGAATATACTTCAGTAAACACTGTCTGCCATTCTTACTTATTGTTGGCCGCGCATCAGTAAACAGGTCGAAACCCCGAAAAAGAACCACACACTTAATAAGTAGTGATTCGGAGCATCGAGGTGGTGTACACCTACAGCCTTTGAGCATAAATAAATTGCTTGACAAGCGTGACACAACGTAGCTCACTAATTAAAAAATAAAACTTTAATAACCACTCTGTTGTTTCTGGATTCAGCGACGCTCAATGCCCGCAAGATCCATAGAGCACGCCAGTAAATTCTTCAACGGTACGACTGCAGGTTGAACGCAGTGCTTTTTGCAGCCTGACGTGAAAGAAACATGTTATGCTAGCGGTTTAAGACCAATATACAGCGCACGTACAGTGATTGAAGCACGATACTTCTTGCGCCGCGGGCAAGCGCTGGGGACTCCAAGCTAGCATTTTTCATCGCAAAAAAGCGCAAGTGCGATAAATTGTGACTGTATTCTGCCAATCGTTAATCACAGCGCCTACTCACCAGCGGCGTAAAAAACACTGTCGAAACATTGCACATCAATCGTATAAAACTGTACTTAAACGATCGTATCACGTCGTCTACTATACTCGGCGAACATTCGCGCTCCCACTCCATAAACAAAGTATTCGGCACTGAATTGCTTGCTGCACACACGTGCGTAGGAGATCAGTTCTTTACCGATTCAAACTTTACAAGCCATGCGTTTCGTAGTTTTTTTTTCTTTGGGTAAAAGTGAAAGCTGACACCTGGCTTTTGCGCGTATGTTGAGCACTGTGGAACGAAGTATTAAAGTACCATAGCCCCGATGAGTTAGACTGCAATGTCCCCAAATGGGTGCTGTGTGCACACTGTGGAGGTCGGCTTGCGTGAAGAACAAAAAAAAAACGCCGTTCAAAAAGAAAAAATCCAGAAATCGCAGTGCGTTGACCCATCAGCTTCCCTTGGGCAATGCCGAACAAGGTCACGTGATCCAAATCTGCACGTCACATTAATTGCAGCGCTCACGACTCCAGTGGTAGGTCTCGCACCCAATACCACTCTCTTCCCCCTTAGTGCTCGGAAGGCTGGTTTGCCTGGTGCGGAGAATGAATCCTCGCACCTGAGCGCGAGCTCTTTTGCTGCGGTTGGTGATGCCATCGACGAAGGCGGCCATGTGCTCGGTACACCACGTTAAGTCATCAGGGAATGAACAGTTGTTAGTCAGAATGTTGTGAGCACCCAAAAAAATTTGGTCAGCGTCTAAGGACCTGACGGTTGTCATGGAATGGGTCACGTCCCTGACCATGGTTTCGTTAACAAGAATAGGACTAACGGCTCGTATCTACAAGAGTGAACACAACACAGCGTCATACGGATATCGATACCCTGTAAGACGTTCACGACGGAAAATAATAAAACCATCTCACCACATTGTGTGTCAGCCAAATTTTCGAACATATCTTAAGTGATAGGGTCTGTAAGTACATATAGCGCTACGAACTCTTCCCAACTAATGTGGTAGGCATTACACCTCAATTATACACACAAGAGCCACGCTTCTCATCAAATAGAAGGTAATAGACGCCTCTACCATTGATCCCAGAATCATTCTCGCTCTAGATTTTGGAATGGCGTTCGATACCACACATTACAATTACATTTTTGAAGCCATCTCTAGCTAATCCGGAAGTTTTAAAAGACGTTTTCTTGAGTTCATTTGGCAGTTGTAGGAGCAGTCAGGAGACGCGTAATCAGACAAGTTACATCTAAATAATACCAGCATCCCTCAAAGTGCAGTGAATTTGTCTTTTGTTATTAACATCAGTATCATGACTCTCACTAGACAGCCTGATAACAGTGACATCAGCTCCGCCATCTACGCCGACGACAACACCATTGAGTCCAAGATAGCCTCGGTGGGTCACACCGAGAAAAATGTACCAAAAAGCCACACGTACAGTCGAGAAACACCTTTCTCGTATCAGGCTCGTACTATCGCACGAAAATTCCGAGCAACTGGTCTACCAACCCATCCACGTGAGGCGATGACCGGGAGATTGAATACCAACCGCGATGACCGACGTACACTTGTTCACTGAGAATGGCTCGTCCCGTAAAGACATCACACGTGCGCGACGCATGGTCACCTCAGCGAACGGCAGGCATGCAGCTACAATGCAGAATTTACAACCACACACTTCGCACGCTATTCGGGGCTTATACAAATGTTATCGCAGGTATACGATGAAGCATCAAAGAGTAAAGGTTGATGCGGCTCTTCCGGGCCTCCTTTTTCAGCAATATCAATCAAGGTGCCGCTATTTATCAATTACCATGCCTCCATATCATAACGCTTGGAGCACTGCCGAAACAGCATATCTAGTGGTCAATATTAAACAGACTGTCCAAAATGTTTTGGTGTTACTTCCAGAAAAAGTACCAGAAAACTCGACGCGTTCGACGCACGCAACAAGCACGATGAATTAACGAAGCGCAGCACACTTGCTATATTTCCAGGCTGACATGAACTGGAGCGCGGGAGGGGATTCCTGACAGTGTAGATACCAGCTTCACCCTGACTGAGGAAATAGCAGTTCTTCGAAACACTAAATGATCGGCGATCTTGGTATATCCATTTCCACGAAAGAAGAATTCGGCGCAGTATATCCAGGGCAGAGGGTGAACGTGTGTTTTAACTTTCATATCTATTTATTCATTTATTCATTCATAACACCTGAAAGATGCGCTATGGGACAACATGAAGAGAGGCGAATAAAAAAACAAACTGGCGGGTCGGAATATATATCATGGCTTCAAAGATGGTCTTCTATAGAAGCCTTGAATTGAGCAATGTGAGTGATGAGGGCGATATGTGAAGGATAGGCATTGCATTATCCAGCAGTATGCTGAAAAAAATGAATATTGATGGGTGGACATGTGTGCACGTGGCAGATACACAACCTTTTGGTGTGAGCGGTGAGGGCAGCAAAAATAATGATTAGGTTTTCTGGAGGCAGCTATAAAAAATTAAAAGATAACCACAGAAGAGACAACACGCTCTTCGTAGACGCATCTCCTTCGGCACAAACAAGCTTCATGGCCGCTGCGGTAGACAAGAACGGTCGTACCATTGTGCCGGCTCACTTAGGACTAAGCCTGTCAAAGTGGTCGAAGACGTTTCCATCCCTCTAGTTCTAATGACTGGAGACTTTTCTATGTCAAAGTAAAAGGAAAAACATTTTTTAGTCCGGGTGCTTATCACTATAGTGCTGCTGATTTATTGCGATATGAATGATATGTATACTCAAAGTGTATCCGCCGCCGCCACCGATGGATCCACTGTGCTCTTCGATGCATGTATATATGCATACATATATACATATATACGTGTGCATGTACATGCATTCATGTATATATGCATATGCATATGCTGAATATATGCACAAAAAACACACCAAGACAATTAGTCAAGAATAAGGATTTTTCCAAACTGTGCTACCGGGGCTCCACAGTGCGACTTGCTACACGTTTTGGTCACAAATGCATTATCGTCTTGTATACTAATGGTGAGCTGATTACATACACAATTTACCGTTGTTGCTATACATATGTCTGAAGTGTTTCGGCGTGACGGAAGCTTGCTCACTGTCCCCCGAGGGATGGCGCTAATGGCTCAAGGTCACGCTTTAAATGACGTCACCTCACTCGCCTTTCGCCAGAGTGAAAGTGCTCACTGTAGTAACCTGCAGGGCGTGGTCGACTATCCTCGCTCCCTAATCTTTCGAGCGAATTCTAACAGATGGCTTATAGGTATGTGCAGCGGTTTTATCGCTAAATGTGCGCTAGAGTAACAGATCGCAAGAAGAGGACCTCAATCAATGCCAAAGCCATGTGTTTTAATATGGCATTTCAGTTTGTTGCTATCACATTCATTGCTTCATCTTTACAGTGAAACGGGGAATTTTTCCGCTCTTCCGTTTTTTTTCTACACAAATTTTCGCATACTATAGTTAGGAAAAACATCACTACCCTCTGCTTGTTTATGCAGTGATCGACTCATCAGGCAAGGTGCCCGGCAACCTGTTCATTGGCTCTGTCTCGGAGCTGGGGTCCTTCGACGAGTGCCTTGCCACAGTTGTGAGGGACGAATCGGGTCGCGAGCTAGTCAGAGCCCAGTACTGCAGCTTGTACGTTCGCCCAGAAAGTGACAGCTCGATCATTGACCTATTCAAGCCGGCTTTACTGATGACGCATCCAAAGGTAAACGTCTTTCAGCTCTTTAAGGATCGTGCCACGTGATTCACGGGTGTCGAAAAAATGCGACAACAGCAAAGTTAACACTAAAATAGCTCTTTTTAGTCGTGGTGGTGCCACCTTAAAGTGCAGGTTACCTTTATGTGCCGCGAGTAGTGACAACGCGATGCAATTTGTGAACACAGGTAGTGCTGCATGTTGTATTACCCAACTCGTTTCGACTATATATCGTATCCAAAGTCAGTTTAGCAGTGAGGGTGATAAAAAAGGACGACATTTTGTGAGTCTTTCTACCCGGTTTGTCCAGAAGCTCAGCGGCTTCTTTACAACCATTCCTGGTAATTCGTGCTTTCTCTTGCTGTAGAATATTATAGACCGAGGAATACACCCGAATATTTGCTTTCAGTGAATGCTGTGTTCATGAGATGGCGTATTGTCTTTCGGATGTCCGTATATTGATATATATTTTATAGCGATAGCAACTATATGGACACTCTCGGCTGGGTTTTGCTGCTGGCGTCTACGTCAGCATCCACCATCGTTCACTGTATGTGTATTCGTATTTATATATATGGCAGTGCAAGAAAGAGAAATAATAAAGAATAAGAATTCGGTGCAGGGAATAAATCGTATGACCACTTGCTTGTGAGAGTGGGGCATTAGCCACTGAGCCACGAAGAAGCAACTCCTTGAACGCTGAAACGGCAAGCTATTTATATATACCACTTACTCCTGGCGGTGCCGATCTCGGGAGAAAAATCGTGTTTTTTTGCGTGACCAGCAAGGTGGTGCAATAAGCGCGCATCGCCAGATCGTCACGATGCGGCAACGCGCACTCATGCGTTCATCTCCCATGCGTACTTTGACCCGATGAGCGGGGTGGGGTAGGCGCTTACGCGTGCAGTGCTTATCTCGCGGCGGGGAGAATCACACACCCTGGGCTTTCACCGGAAGATTATTTTGTACTTACCGGGTGCTCAAAGGTCACTGTGCTCGCTGCACAGGCTCTGTTGGCAAAAAGGGCGTGCTTTTCAGGCACACCTAAGTAACAACTGACACACTTATTCGCATTAATCTGTACCTGTGAGTACGTTTCGTGTGTTATTTGTGGCTGCGAATTGTGGGGCACGTTTCGATCTGCTTGACAATCTTCGTGTGGCATTCTAATTTGTTGCTATCACATTCATGCCTCGCGTTTTCGGGAAAGCTGTGACTTTTTGTTTATATTTTATTTTCTGCTTTGTGTGACTTTGAGTTTTTGTTATTTCTATAATTCTGACTAATAGTGCTCGTGGTGAAGTACTATGTTTTCTATTAAGAAAGATGCACCGTACGTTCAGAAAATTTACAAGTATGAAATTTTGATTAGAAAAACCTAAGTCGTAACGGACGACTGAAAAGGAGTGTGTGCTACAGGCCACATTTGCGCCTTCTTCGAAAAGAAAGAGGTAATTTTTAGCTAAGTGCAAGTTGAAGACTACAGCTTGTAAACGATCCTTTTCTCTCTCATGACTGACTGAAGCTGTCGATAAATTGAGCGGACAGCAGCTGGACGCCGATGGCCTCTCGCGATGTCCTGTTGAATCACCGGGCACTAATGATGCCGAATTCATTGGTTCTTTAGAAGTTGATGCAGTCGCCATTACTTGGCAATGACAGAACGTCCAAGACCTTGACTCAACGATAAAATTTTTGAAAGGAGAAAATGGCCCAATACTCACACAATGAAAGCAATAACAAGCCATCTCCGGCTCCGTCACTGGCCGCCGCTGGTAGCCTGAGCAATCTAGTGCTGATCTGCCGTTCTGTGTGTGTATCTGTAATGTCTATCTCTTGTGCAGCAGAAAATATCGTGCCATTCACGACACACGTGCGCCTGGTTTCTGTTCTGCGGACGCGCGTCTGGCGTTCTTCACGGCAACCGGTTCGTCTTCTCGTTTAATTAAAATGGAAGTCCTGCGTTGACAACACACTGACATAGAAAACATTGCCTGGTAAAAAAAGTGAGAAATTTCTGCTAAGTCGTGTAATGCCAGACCACAGCGAATCTGGTCTATGTCATGATTTCCGATAATATTTGCAATGTCCAAAGACTGTCGTGCCACCAAGCGGGATTCAGGAGCTTCCCCTCAAGGAGCGCTAATAGATGACACAATGGCAGAACAACGATGTCGCTTCCTTGGTCGGCTGTTCTAGCTTCATAGTCAATGCATTAGAAAGAAACGAACACTATGACTTTGCATGTGTGCTGCCTCAGTGAACAGAACGGCTCATCTATGACACAATAAGTCGGATTCGTTCCTGCAGGACGCGAAGTTTTCGTGAAAATGCCTAACGAATGGCGCTTTCAAAGAAAGGCAATAGCTTACACGTATCAGCTTCAACAGGTTTTCTGTTCCCTATTTAGGTAAGTTAATTGTTATCACCTGGCCTTTGCAGAAGGAACTCACCTTGTTTTACTTTCGTCGGGGTCACGGCCGCAAGATGAAAAACACATGGTCCGGCCTGCCGCGTGCAGCGAATAGTGCATGGCACGCCTGGTGCTCTGAGCTGCCACAGCAGCGCCATCAGTAAGAGAGCCTCTGGAGTGACCGAAAGTGAGAGTGCCGGAATTATTGCGGCGGATCGCGGCTAGACTGTCCAGCTGATATGTACTTGTTACTTTGTAAATGGTTACAATAAACTTGCTGTAGTGTTAACTATATTGGTAGTCGTTCTACAGAATGTGCGTCTGGAATACTTCAGCCTAATTATAGCAAGCGTTAGTTTTAAGAGAAATGGTTCTTACGGCGAGTATCAACTTTTCGCGTCATTTTTTCTTTTTTCTTCTTGTTGCGCCATTCACTCTAAATAGTGTTTGCGTTAGAGCTATTTTCTCAACAGCAGAATCGTTTACTGACAAGTGTGGTTGTATTTCCGGAATGATTGTTTCTCACATTCTAGAAAGGAAAGCACTGTGAACATCTGGTGAATGATAATTGTAGTGGGGCTTCTTCATTGAGAAGGTGCAGACTTGGTTTCCAACAAACTCGACAATCTTGTCACCTTGCGCAGCACCCTTGAGCATCTCCATAAAACAGGCAATGTCAGTGTTATGTTCATTAAACTGTGCACGCTGCTCAGCCTCATCCACTTATTCTTAAAGGGCCTGCAGTGCTCTTTTCATACGAGCGATGTTCGCTTTGAAGCAGCGCGTTTTCTATTGTGATAGCAATTATGTACACAATCTCGGCTGGATTCTCCCGCGAGCGTTGGCTTCGCCGTCACCTACCGAATACGTAACAACATATACGCAAACGCAAGAAAGAAAAGCAATTAAGAAAAAGATTTTGGTACGCGGAATTGAACATGAGACCTCAGAATCGTGAGTGCGAGACGTTAGTCAGTGAGCAACAGAATAGCACCTCATTCAACGCTCAATCGGCAAGCTATTTATACCTACTATTTTCCGCTGGCGATGAATGACAATCTCGGGAGAACAATCGAGTTTCAGCATGACCAGCGAGATGGCGCAATGAGCGTGCGTTGCCAGATGGTCAGAAGGCGGGGGAGCGTGCTCTTATTCACCACATGTACTTTGCCCAGCGGAGGGGGAAAGCTCTCGCGAGCGCTCGCTTATTTCGCGGTGGGGACAATCGTACACATTGTGCTTTCACCGGAACGATTCTCTTGTACTTACCGGGTGCACAATGATCACTGCGCTCGTAGCACAGTCTCCGTTTGCGAAAAGGGTGCAATTTTAAAGACGGTAATCTTTCTTAGACACCTTCGACGCGAAAGTTTTGGTCTGTCTGTGTGTTTGATTGATATGTGGTGTTTAACGTCCCAAAACCACCAAATGATAATTAGAGACGCTGTAGTAGAGGGCTCAGGAAATTCCGACAACCGGGGGTTCTTTAACGTGCACCCAAATCTGAGCACACAGGCCTACAACATTTCCGCCTGCATTGGGTCTGTCTGTGTGTGAGCTTGCCTGTTTGTCCCCCGAAACGATACTGGAAACGACCGAAATCCCACCCCCGCAGCGCTCACCAATATTGTTGAAGTTTCGCTATTGAAACTTGTGCGATTGGGCACTAAAAAGCAAATATTGCGCATATTTTAGGCACAATATCTACACGTCAACATTCTGTGGTGTGTCGGTTTAAACTAGATAAGGCATACATAAGGAATTCTAATGATCGCACCATTTATCACGCTGAGCTGACAATGCGACGCTATTTACGAAAAGTCAAGTGTTTCTAATGCATTGCTAATACGACACGGTGGTGGCACCTACCCGTCGCCTTGCAACATTCCCCTTATCGCCTCCAAGATGGGCGCACATGCCGCGCGCTTCGTTTTCTACGATTACTGCCAGATAGCGCTCATGTTTCATGTGTCTCGATGCGCTCGTTCGCCTCTGCTGCATGCATCGAGGCACTATAACGCAGCGCCTGCCAGATACAATTCACCTATTTTCTCGCGCACAAAATCAAATAGACGGTTTGTTCACTCTACCCAGACGCAAGGCTATCATCTTTCGACGACATTTGCAGTGAAACGTGCAGATACGGGGCGAATTTTCAGACAGAGCGAAGTAAAAAATGGAACGCTTGCTTATTCACGTTTATCTGTACCTGTGAGTACGGCTCATGCTCCTTTTGTGCATCAGAAACATTGGGCACGTTTCGATCTGCTTGCCATTGTGCTCATCACCTTTCGTTTTGTTGCTATCACGTTCATTGCTTCGCCTTTGCAGCAAAGTTATGGCCTTTTTTAACATCTTTGTCAATTTAACGTTGTCAAATGTAGTTAACATGATTCATTCGAAACTGATGAAATCGCCACACACGTTTCATTTCTTACTTCGAAGGTGCTGGGCGTCGTGGCTTCATTGCTGCCTCTTGACGACTTGTTTGAGTAATGACAGCCCTGTCTTGTGGAGGAGCATTGCCCGAGCACTCGGCCCGCGACTGCGCATTATCATCTTCTATTTACAAGCGTGGCAACCTCTTCCTCACAGT